CAAAACATCTCAGAAACGGAACGGCTAAAGTGAAGCTCCAGAGTCCCTCGGAAAGGCAAGTCTGACAGGAATACTGTGGAGAAGATGGCTGCTCTGTAAGTCAGGCGGGGACATTCTGCATTCAGCAGCAGGGAGGTATTGGTAATGAAGGAGAGCCTAACTGCGCTTTTAGCCTATACATATAGGCTACAAAATATCAAGTGATATCTATAAAATATGTCACTATATCTAGCGAGATACATACATATATATATACATATCTCATTAGACAATACAGAATGCCTCTATGCATTGCTGTGTATAGTGGTCTGGTTATACCATGGAAGTCCATCAGGAGTCAGAAACAGAGGAACTGAGCCCTCCCAACATTAACAAGACTTGTTTTGCTTGTTTTATTTGCATTTATAAAATAGTATTAAAGTAAAGCTGGAAGATGTCACAGGGATGGTGGCCTGGTTTCTCACCTTGCCCCCCTTTGCCTCACCCCCAGTGTGCTCCGGGGAGGCTGGGGAGGTGCTGCGAGGCAAAGGCCCTTTGCAATGACGCCTCAGTCTGTGGGCCTGCCCACGGGGAGGACATTTCTACACTTGGTTCAAAAAGGACAAATTAATTTTCTTTGGTGACTTATGAAGTATTTTGCCTTTCTTAAAATTTCAAGACACTGGTCTATTGCGAATGAGTGAACCTTCTGAAAAACAGTACATTGACAGCACATTTGGTTTTGACACTGACTTCAGGGACCACAGGACCAAGACAATAGAGCTGTTGCTACTTTCTGTCATACCTTCATTGCCTGCAAGGAAACAACAGAGGCAGATAGGACTATAACTAAACTACAGAGGAACACTTCAACAATTCTGCTACCACTCAACAGAGGTAAGAGTGTTCTCTCTTTATGGTTATCGCATCTTTTTTTCCTGTGCTATGAAGTAATGAGCAAGGACTTTCTTTTGCAAATCCACACCCGAACCCATACATCTGTGTATACACACACACACAGACGTGTGCTTGCTTCAATACTGTGTGTAGTGAAGTTTCTCCTGAACTCAAAGCAAAGAAGTATAACACCTAAGGCAGAATCTTTACCAGCCCCGTTTTTGCTATCTTTTAAGTTGTACTCACAAAAATAATTGGATTTAGACAGAATTAAATACTAATAAAAATACAATGAAAGCAATTCTTCCAAAGTACCTAAAAACTTTTCAGAGAATCTAAACTGTATAATGGAAGAACATCATAAAATCTGTGCAATTAAAAAAGCATAGAAATTAAGGTCCAGATTCAATTTCTCAGGTTTTGTTTCTTTAGGAGGAATGAAGATCTCAATCTTTATTCTTAAAAAAACCCCACACTGATATCAACAGACCTGTCCCTACCTTTCAGAGGAGGTCATTTATAAATGAGGCAATATATTCACAGAGAGACAGAGACTATTTAAATGATTAAAAGTCCAAAGACCATGTACGAAAAAGTGAAATTAAGCTGTGAGAAGCAAGCTGTGAAAGCTGCCACCAACGCTACCACCAAAAAGGCTATAAGCTAAACCAGAACAACTAAAAAAAATATAGATAAAGCAAAATGCAATGCAATAAAATAAAATAAAAGGCCCAAATACCGGGCCAAACCTGGCTATCCAAACTCAGCGTTGACACTGTTAGTTTGTAAGTGTGGGAAGAGCGATTCGTCCTTTGAAAGGAGCCAGAGGAGCGTAGCTGAGATCAGTGACCGATGGGACATGGCCTAGGGCAACAAGGCCCATACAGGATTCATCATCTTGGGCTTTCCCTTCGATCCAACACATATCACATGGCTGGAGACACTCCCTGCTCTCAGAGCAGGATAGTCTGCCTGCACATTGTCAAATACTTCACTTCAGGCCTGCTGCAGCTCTTGACATGGAGGTTAAGTGCTATGTAAATGCCTCACTTGAGCTCTTAGGACTTTGCTGCCCTTGGATCTTACCGATGGAGCTCCCAAATGCTTGTGTTTAGCCCTTCGCTGGCATGCTCCCTTCACTGCTGAACTATTGGTATTGCTCCAAACCTCCTGAAGCATGGGACACAAATGACAGTCTTGTCAGCTCTGGCAATTTTTTATGAAGCTTGGTGTCCTTTTTAAATCCCAGCTGCAGAAATCAAAAGGTTGCATCACTGTCCCAGTTTATCACTATTAAAAACAAATGGCCCTCAGCATGCTTGAAAAATGCCTGAAAACGCATCATGAAATCCGTCTCAAAGCTCAGTATCCAGAAGGCAATACAAGAACCAAAAAAGTTTATTTTAAAAAAAAATAAACCCACCATGATCTGAAACCAATCTTGCAATTTTTGGCACTCAGTTCATGACTTTGAAGGCCTGAGGTGGGCAGCGTTAAGAGCAGACATAGCAAATGTCCAAGCAAACACATGCTGCTTCCCCACGGATTGAAACAAACAAACAATCTCTTTTGATTAACTCTGCTGGAAGTAATATTGTAAGGGGTGAAATGATTCCACAAAGATGACATGTTGGCATTTGAAATGAGATTAATATAGTGCCTGTAAAAGTGCAATAATCCTTAATAACTAACCCAAAAGAAGCATCATCCCCAGGGATAAGATGGTAATTCACTCTCCATATTTAATTTGTTTCTAAGCTGCTTTTGAAACAAGACTGCTAAATAGTAAGTTGGCTTGTGATCCTCGACTTGACTGCTGGACTTATGATAATCATGCCATTGATTCAGCATGCATTTCAAACTAAGTCACAGGATACAAAATCAGGTGGGCTAGTTCCTTAAGCTGTTTAAGCAAAAGATTGTAAACACGGGGTAAATTTAGAGATAGGTGTCATTCACTGCAAGCAACAGGGGAAAGATAATACATCGCCTTCACCGAGTGACTGCAGCTAACCCTGAACAGTCTTGTGTTGGAAGATTGTATTTCAAGACATATCTATCCTTCATAAATGCATGGAAGTCTAGGATTTCAGTCTATATTAAAGGAACAAATGACGACAGTGCACTTAATTAGGCTAAATAGTTACTGAATCTCTTTAGTGAGATCTTGCAAAAAGAATGGAAAACCTCTGGCTTAAGACAAAACCACCCCAACACTACTTCATCTCAAGTACTCACCCTGTTAAAAAAAATTAAATAAAACACTTCAAGAGTTTTGTTTTCTTTTTCTTAAAAAACCCCCAACAACCACCTTTCATCTACATTTCTGAATAGTCCTCACTGTTGCGGTTTTATTCATTAGCTACCAGGGCCAGAGTCAGCGTGACAAATGCTGTCAAGATTCCCGTTGCAGCCATGATACCAAAACCCTCCGAGAACAGATAAGGGTGCATCGACTACTTCAGGAACAGGAATGTGCAGATAACACGGGATGTGCATGTTCTGCAAATGGCCTTTGCAGACAACCCTAAACTGGCTGATTTCTATAATGATGCATGTGGGTTACATTTACAATACAGTCTTGTGGAACAAGATATTAGGAATTACTGATTTTTAAGAGAAGGTAGTACTGCCGGCAGCTAATATACAACAGCTACAGTAACGTTTGTCTTAAATGTGCATTGGGCAGAGTCCTTAAACTGCTCTTATTGCAAATATCCAAGGCCTGCTCTAAAAACCATAACAGTCTGAACCTTTTAAATGAAAATTTGTCCTATTTATCTGGTCACAACCTAGTGAGTAGAATCCAATAACTCACCAGATTAAAGGATATACAGGATTATATAGCAGAAGGTAATTGCAATTAACTAATATCTGGATGGCATTTAATACACATATTGTATTATTTCAGTGAGATGAGACAGAATAATATTTACATTGCTATGAGCATCTTCTGTTTATAGAAATGGAATTTACAGTTCAGTAAGGTGTGCAGGCGTTATATCAAGAATGAGATGAGACCATTTAAAGTCTTGTGAATTATTGATATAAAT